ATTAAAATGAACGACAGCAAATTTTCTGTTTATTCTTGAATAAAACGTCTAACATTTAATTTCTCAATAACGAATGAACCAATTTCGAAAAAAATCACAGAGGCAATATGAACGGACAAAAGATCTTTCAATGATGTATCACTCGACCCGTCATGCCATTGAAAAAAATAGGGGGGTTAGTTGCTGACAGCAGGGGGTGAAGTTTTGGGTATGATTTCCATATCAGAATTAGTCCCCCTAGAAATAAAAATTGACGTATTCTTTGAAATTTTCGACTACACGTCCGTTTGACTTACAGGGTGGGTCAAGTTTTCGTTGGAACGCCTTGTATATAGGAGAAGTGGATTATAAAATGGAAGAAAGTAGCGCTGAATTTGAAATGATAAGGAATGAAAACAGGAAGTATGATTCTACAGGAACATTTCATCAAATGAGATCCTTAACCCTTTGGAGCCAATTTTGGTTCCGCCGATAGATAGTTTTTCATGATAAAAAATAAAGTGTTGGAAATAAAGTGCTAAAGTTGATGAATCGTTTATTTTCGAATATAATCTGATGATCTTTAGTTTTTGTTTGTTCTTTTCATCTTACGTCAGAGCAAACTCCATTTAGGGTTTATATATCTCCATGATGATCTATCACGTAGTAACGGCTACATACATCAATTTATAATATCTAATGTTCTATTTGCTGGTACATAAGTGTACCATATGTCATCAGGATGGATTCACACCAGTCTTAAGTAGCATGTTAAAGGTAAGAATTCATGTTTTTCATGTAAACCTAATAAAAACTCCCAACTTGTGCACATGCACAGTTGCTACTTCATAAATATACCTGCAGTCTTTTTGAAACCAATAATTTTCAATCGTCATAAGAATATCATAACGCTAAATGAACTAACACTGAAGCCGAGTTTCAAAAATTGTCCAAAAATAATAGCATTCTATAGAAAGAAGATAGGCAAACTCGATAGGCTGGACAGTCATTATTAATTCAGGAGAAAATTGGTGGATTGAAGTCTTTCACAGGTTTTTGATGACAGTGGATGTCTGGATAAAACCGAAATTTTCATTGTACGTTTGACAGTGAAATTATTAAAAAGAAAAACATAAAAGTACAAAACGCGGTAGGATATCGTTTCACTTGCCAATTGAAAATTAGACATGAATATGTGTACTTTGTTCATCAAAAAAATCAGACCAAAACAATAAACATTTGTCATGTGTGTAATGGACCGTCTTTGTTAAAAATGCTCTTTGAAATATGCATTATATACACTCATCCACGAATATCAATAAATCTAAAGCAAATTCAAATCCAAGATAAAGTGGGTGTAAACATTGACATGCCCTACGCACGTGATATTGAAAATCCCAAGAATTGGCCAAGGTCGTATTCAGAACCAACATCTTGTTGATCGCAAATGCTTTATCATACTTACGAAAACTTTTTTATAATAATGAGTGAAATGCACAAGTTTTGCAGTTTGACGGGAAAAATGCAGATAATATGTGTAATATAAAAAGATTTTCATTGGATTTTTCACAGCGCACTCAAGCATTATATGAAAAGAGACGTTATTATTCCTTTATTGATAATTTTTATTTTATGTAAAATCAAAAGGAATATTAAACAAAATTATTCAACTGTATAAATTTTTCTCTTCATCAGTAGTGTCATCCTCACCAATCTGAATTATCAGTGGCTCGATTTGTGCCTCTATTATGTTATCAAGCTTCCACATCTTTGTCTCGACTTCTGATATCACATTCCGAACACACTTCTCCCATTTCTCCGCTGTGACTCTTTTCAAAGCCTCATCAAAAAGTACTTTAAGATCTGCAAATTTGAACGTGGTGTTATGCTGAGCTATAAAATTCTTCACATCCGCCCATATTAACTCGATGGGATTGAGCTCACAGTGGTATGGAGGTAGGCAAAGGACAATTTTGTTTTGGCCTGCTGCCATCTCAACTATATATTTTTGGTATTCAAGCTTGTGCTCCTTGACAATTTTTAGTAGCTGTACTCTTAGCATTGAGTCTTCAAAGCTAATATTCTTTGATCGCAGCCAATTTTGGATGTCAACCTTCTTTGAAGACGTCGTCGGAATCTTCTCTAACCGTCGCGAATGATGAGGTGCATTGTCCATTACAATCACAGCATTATCCTCCAAATGGTGTAGAACTTTGGAAAACCACTGTTCGAAAGATTCACCGTTCATTTCTTCGTGATAATCTCCAGTTTTCTTCGATTCGAAACACCACAGCCCATTCTCACAGCCATTCTCATTGCCGATGTGACAAATAATAAGCCGCTTTACTTTACCTGAAATTATGAAGAGGTATGTAAGTAAATAAAACAAATACGAGGGTTACTTTTTATATATTGAGATTGAGGCAGGTCTTTATATAAATATAAGTTTACCTGATGGATTTGTTAATCCGGTGGATAGTCCATCTAGAAAGGCCCTCCTAGATGAGGTCACAGTTTCATCGACCCATACTTTAGGGGTAGTATGACCAGCATTAACCCAGGTTTCATCCATATAATAAATTGGTCTCTGTTGTTCCCTATAATATTTAATTTAGGTCAAATACCCTCTCCTCCAGAACACAATTTTCTCTCTATCCAATAATAAACTATTGCGCGCTCGTTTTTTCCATAAAAAATTCAAATGTTTCAATACTTGGAATGTTGACCACTCAAAACTTGGCAATGAAACATCTTCATTTATTTCTGTGAGTACTTTGTCTATCGTGGATATTTCATTTCTGAAAAAGTACTCATGCACTTTCCTCCTGATTGCCTGTTTATCAGCATCGTCTATTGATTTTATAATGGTTTGACGATTCTGATTTGTATTTGGTTTGGAAAATATATGATTTTGTTTATATTCCCGTGAAACATTGTAAATCGAAGCGCAACACATTCCAATTTCATCGAAAACTTTCGATACGACTTCGTCGACAGTCGATGTCTCAATTTCTTCCATCTCTTTCTTGAACACATTTAAAATCACTTCTTTCATCTCAACACTCAAATGTCTTTTTTTGGATCGTTTCCTGGCTGGACTCAGAGGATAGCTCACAGTGTCATCAGCAGTGTCTGTACTGGACATCTTGGAAAACAATATTAAACAATATACTATAACGCACGCCACACAAACACGCAAACGACTGATAACAACCCGGTGCTTGGTACCGAACTCGTACCAAGAAGGCGAATTCACCAATAAACGCTGCCCTTTCATCTGACACTGGGCGATCACGTGAACATCATGCTTCGGTTTTGTTTTGTTTTACTCTATCTTGGATTTGGATAGACTTTAGATTAAAATAATTATTTCAAAAAAGCGAGTTCCTAAATTCACCGACTGATTCGAAAGATTGATCTGTTGGTCCATTTGAGATGTTAGAGCGATTCTTTTGGTTGATGTTAAGCATAAAAAAATTTCTGTTGAATTTCAGAACTCGCCTGAGAATATCCATGACATTGTTGGATGAATAGGGATGTTCCCTTACCTTTGTTCGAAGTCGACTCAATTTCGTTATCCGCTTTAAATAGGAACCCTGGAATATGTTTATTCATTTGATTTTGGGTCTGTTATCTCGAGCATAATACTCAACTTTGGAGACCCTATAATCACTCTTCCTGAAGCATTACGGTCTCACTCGAAGTGATATCTAAAATGCCTCAAACTATTTTGATGCACTTGTATGATATTCATCGTATTACAAACATAAGATTGCAATGAATGTAGAATGTAGGTAGTTCAGTACAAAATTGACTCTCGCTTTCCCATCAACGAGAATGGCCACCATACTTCTGCTCCTCGTGAAGGTGCAAGAAGTCGGATATCTTCATTTACATTATTCGCATGCAACATTCACAGACCTAACTGATACACCATCGGAAAAGTTTCAGACAAACCACAGAATACTTTATAGAAGAGACATTCGGCACGGAACTAGAACCATTAATTTTTGACAATCACAACGTGATTATTGTGAACCTAAAAATTTCTTTGAGTTGTTAATGAACGTGAAGATGGTAAAATGAAACTAGTTTGGTTAAAATGTTAACCTAACAACCTGCAATTGAATTATCTATTCGATAAGTTTCAAATAATTTGAATTCACTGCTACAAATGACCCTAGATCTCCAACACTCAATATCAGTCACAGAAACTTGACCTCTCAACTCTCAACATCAAAATGTCATCAGCTGAGTGTCACTTTTGTAACGTTTTCAGTGGCCACTGTGGGCAGATTAACAGCAGTATCAACTGTCAGTCTCGTCTCGTCACAGAGTATTGTGTAATATAGTGTGGTCTCGTGCAATCCAATTCCAATGCCAATTTGCAGGATTCATGACACATGTTATAGTATTCGGTAAGGGTCATCGACATAACCTTGTAAGGGCACACTGTAGGTGTGTTCGGTTTTAAAAATCTGAAACCGAACCTACAGATGAAGATTTGATACCCGTGAGCGAAATATATTTACCGAACAATCGATTCTATTTGAATGAAGAGTCGACATTCATTGTATTTTTGTTATCATAAAACCTCTATTATGAGATCGATGAAATATCGGTCCTACAAAACCACTGTAATTCACAATTTTCTTCTTAAAATTCAAACACTTTTTACAACTAACCAAGAATGACTAGTGTTGAAGAAAGCAGCATCATGTCAATAAGAATGCAGCATCATGTCTGAAAATACTATGTGCTGACAAGACACAAATTTCACCAAAAGTAAATTTTTCAGAAATACCTGAAACTCAACCAATTTTCTTAAATATGACAACTAACCACTAAAACATCTGTCTGAGCCCTAAGTTGATTTCGCAGCTAACCGATCACATGTTTTTCCTCGCTCTTTCAAATATCAAACACAGAGCAGATGTAATTGAGATAATAGATCTGCATTATTGTACTCTTGCTGACTTGCTGTTGTAGCTAGTCGAGCCCTCACTCGCTCAGGCTCAAAGTTGTTTTGTAGTAAACGAACAAACCTTGTGTTCATATTCAATATTTTCCTTGCAAATCATTCATGTTTGAAATTTCAATATATCTAGATTATTGTGTATGATGTAGAGCTGTTTTTCTCTATCAGCAATATATTAAATACCTAGGCTTCTAAACGTCAACCGATATAGTGAATATTATTTCAGATATTTGAATTGCATTATCAACATAAATTATGCATCAGGGATACTTGGAAATCAATGGTGTTCGTACGAAAATTACTACTTTTGGGAGATGGGTAGAAGAAAATTCAAAGAATTGCGAAGATATTGTTATACTTATCCCAGGAAATCCTGGAGTCGTAGGATTCTATGACGAATTTGCCAAAACTATTCATAAAAATTTGCGGTTTCCAGTTTGGTGCATTGGACATGCTGGTCACAATTTACCAAAGCAGAAATTGAATCCTCTTCCAAAGTTGGAGGGTAATGAAGTGCTTTATGGACTAAAAGGACAAATTGAACATAAGGTATTAATACTAAGTTGAAATCATATTTAAATTGTCAGCAAGAAAGAACCTAAGAACTTTGTAGATTTCTTTAATTCAGCATAATATATATTACAAGCCCGTTTATCAGAAGCATAGCCATAACTCAATGAATTAATCAGCATTCAGCATATCTTCAAATTACATTCTTGAAGTTTTGCTTAATCGTTAAGTTATTGTCCATATAGACCTTTTATTTATGGCTTATTCAATATTATAATCAGCCCTCGCTATTTTTGATATGTGATTTAATCCTGAATGAAAAGAGAGAGGTGATATCTGTTCGTTATTCACTGAATACCACATTGCAAATTCAAAGGTGGCATGCATGTCGGGTTCATATTTCTTCACCATTGTCCTTATGTTTCAAGTCATTTTTGTCATGTGGTTATCTAGTGATTTGTATGATTATTCTTAACCTTTACGAATTCAAAAACCCTGAATTCTGGCTTTTCCAGACCAATTTTAGAACTAAAATTTAACCCATTTCCAGAATAATCAACTTTTTTTGTATTGCTACCAGCTTCAGCGTTGAATGCAGTCCATGAGTTATGTTTTCTAACTAAGTAGACTATCTGATATTGAAAAAGTGTAAATAGTGACCCACTTAGTCCTTGTAATTATCATGTTAATATTTATGGTAAATCTTAAGTCTGGATTTTACCTAATTAGTTGTCACAAAAGAAAAACTAGGTCAAACACAATTGAACTCAGAATATATAACAAATGTTTGAAAACTAAAACATACTCTCAGATTAATAATTGATTATTTTTTAAATATTTCTCTCATATTCATTCACTTATTCACTTAAAGATTAAAGCATCATAACTTCAACATTCAAAAATAGAAAAGAACATGTATAATATTCATCTATGAACAAAGAAAATACTAAGATTTTTAAATCGTGTTTGGATTGAAAGAAGATTGCTTAGTGGAAATGACAGATCTGACAGAGCAACAATATTATTATTCTGGTTTGAATATTTTTATGGATGCTGCAAATTTGTAATCAGGTGATAATATATTATAAAGGGGAGTGTTGGCACCCTCCAATAATTTCTTTCAACATTCATGATGGAGTTTCTGAATGTGAATATTTTTATTATTTTCAGTTAAATAGGAAAGGATGTTGATATGCTTAATATATATAATCTTGGAAAAGAAATATTTTAACTTTTTACTTCTTCATTTTGATACAAAAAATGTGGAAATCTTCCAAAGAAAGGAAGAAAGCAATTAATTTCAAAATAAACTATTCACAAAGATTTGTAGATAATGCAAAGAAATAACTTTCAGATACAAACTGAAAAAAAGTCTTCTTGACACAACTACTTTTGTATGAACATTTAATTATACAAAATACTGTATCCTATTCAGTCTGCATTCCAAACATTATTATGGAATTGAATCAGATATCTGATTCTGAATTGCTACATAATATAGTATATGAAAGAGGTAAAATTTCACTTACATGCAACACTGTCATCCTATGGTGAACATTCGATGTTTCAGAATAAGACACTTGCTTTATTGCCTCTTCAGCACTAATCTGGATAAGATTACAAGAAAAAGCACTCAATTCATTCATAAAATCATAAATTTATGTCATGATTGAATCTACTCATATAATCGATGACAGTACATAATGACATTCATTTGCTTATTTGGTTCAATCCCAGCTATAGGAAAAAAAAATTTGGTTTTCTACTTCTCCATCTTTCTACTTTCATATAAAAATTGAAAAATAAAAAAAATACTTTCGAAACAACTACGTACTTTTATATGAACATTTTGTATCATTTATTTTGTCATATGTACATTAATATTTTGAATAGATATATTCTAAGTAAGGTATTATTTATTTATTAAGATTTGTTCACTGCCAGTCTTCAAGCATAACCCACTGACTAATAAGAAAGATTTTTTCCTTATTCAGAGGAATCGGGCAAATTTCAGATATGCAGTTGGTTAGTATCTCGTCCACTAGATGGAGAGACATTTTGTTGTTTGCTCCAACTTAGGAAGAGGAATGAAATACTTTGAAAGAATTCCGATTTTCAATTATGGAATATCATTGACTTTAGGTCGATGATGGCCACTATCTTGCACTGATGAGTGGCCAATGAGTCTGAAACCGGTCTGCAAGTGTGCAGACCGTTTCAAAATTGAAGGTCGACTCTTTCAGTTGTATTGCCAATTGCATATGAAGGTTATTTTCTGTGAAGATTCCTGCACTGACGCCTGTCGGATATAATCCAATGCCCTTTGTGGTATTAGCCAGGGAAGTAGTCGTTTCTGATAGTCCTTTCAACCTACTGTGTAGGTATATTCGAGACTGGCTTGAACGTTTAAAGTTCATTTCTTCAAATTTGTTTACTGCATAACCATAGCACCCATTCGACTTCCAACCATGAGAGCTGAAAGTTTGCGAACCATTCAATCTCCTCCAAATCTACCACTTCTATCTATGCCATTGTTCAAATTCAACCTGATTAATGCGCCACAGTCATGGAAAATTGGACGTTTGGGATGCGCTCCATACAGAGAAGACATGGCGAACATTTTAAAGATGTTATATTCCACACATAATGGCATCAATAGGCCTTTCAAACTAATAAAAAATATTGATTATATCTCACAGACACTTTGTTTTATTCAATTTTGAGGATAGGAAGCACCTAATGAAAGACCCTATACAGGGCTTTTCATGATGAGCGTTAGTTAGCCGTTTCTGGCAAACTATTCAACGGATCAACCTGAAAATTTCACAGTATGCATACGTCAATATGACCTACACGCCTAAAATATTTTAGACGAAGCGGCGTTGTCGCTTCTACTATAAAGTAGCGGCTTCTTAGAATTTTCAAACGGAACACCCCGTATATAATATCATACTATGATTCATTATCACTTCAAACAAATTCATATACTATTTCCCTATGCGTATCTATTACCGTTTAGAAGATATAAATTAACTTCAATATTTTTTTTACCAAACATGATCTTTTATAAATGCTGATAATTTTGAACTAAAACGAACAAATTTGAAATGGAGTAGAGTGATACTATGAGGATCTTAACTAAGAGTCATATTTTCATTTGCCTCATACAGGGTCTTCAAAAAATGCAGATACTTTGATCTCATGAAAAAATGAGTGGAACTTAATTTTTTCAAATGGAACACCCTGTATATTTCAACATTTTTGAGCTCTACATCCAATTTTAGATTAACTTTGTTCAGATAATAACTATTTCTATTTTGAACCGTTTTCGAGATAATCTGTTTCAAACGGAAATTGACATGGTTTCCTTGTTCATCACTAATTTTTGTAAAACAGATTTCGTTTGATGTTTCTCAATTAGTCACAGATAATACAATGAAAAGATAATTGTTGAAATACTCCTCAAACAATATACTGTTGTGA